TCTTTTTAGTCAAACAGTAAATAGAATACATAAAATTTTTATAGGGTCATTTGTTTAAATTTAAATAATAGTTGATTATAGGAAAATATTTTCTAAAGTGAGAATAATATTGGAAACAAGAGGACTGTATGGGGTCGAATTTGACCAACCACGTTCTTCAAGCCAGCTTGACCGACCGAGTGTGCGTAAGTCCGACTAGAAGGGCGACCTATTAGCAACAAGAGGGACGACTTCACGATCACGTCGGCTACTCCATAGCATGTGCTTTATTTTCTGCCTTTTAATATTCGAGCAAGGATCCTCTATTATATAAAGAGGATCCAAGCCTTGTAAAAGGGGCGGATTTTTGACTACTGGAAATACAATCTCTCTCTTTTCTCTATCTCTACTATTATCTCTCTCTTATCTTTCAGAAGTTTATCATCTTCTCTCATTAACCTTGTTTACACTATTGTCATCTGATTCTATATTCAAGATCATCCTAGGGTTTATTATCTTCAACTACGATTTACTCCTTCATCGACATTGATTGATTTGCTTAGAAAGTATCAACCTACTTTTGGGTCAAACAATTTGGCGCCGTCTGTGGGGATTTCGGTAGTCTAAATCATAGTTCACATCTAGGATATCAGAAACAACCATCGCTGTTCTTCAGATCTTATAGAAACTAACAAATGGCAGACAAAGAGTCAAGGTTGAAGCTGATGGCAGACGTCTCAACCAACCTCATAGGCCCACTCAACGAAGCCGGTAGAGAAAATACCGCGAATATAACACTATGTAACATACCGGAGGGGGAGATCTCACCTTCCTCACTCGAAGATCTAACGATTTTGCATGAAAGAGGGACTTCTACATCTACAGCAAAGGAAACACCCCCAGTAGTCAAAAATCTACTAGAGGAATGGTTGACGAACACTCTAAGTAGCATGCTCGAGAAACCACCTCAGGGAAATATCAAAGATCCATCGATGGCAGAAATCGCCACCACCATCGGAGAGCCCAGCGTTGCACGAACAGGTAACGCCCACACTGATTACAATACAAGCAACGATGCGCTCACAGCCATCCTTAAGAAAATGGAGGAGATGGAGAACGAGAAAAAAGCACTTCGTGATCAAATGAAGGAGCACCAGGAGAGGGTAGACAAGATACCTGGCGCCCCTAAGCTACTGCCGAAATGCGATATGGGGAGATTCGTCGAGCAACCATATAATGAGGAAGCTGCTCCTCACCCAATCCTTAAAACCTTCAAGATGCCACCATAATTGAAAATATACGACGGGACCACGGATCCAGAAGATCACCTGATTCATTACGTGACCGCCGTAAAAGGCAATGACCTATCGAAAGAACAGGTGCCATCTGTGTTGCTGAAAAAGTTTGGGGAGACTTTGACGGGAGGAGCACTCACATGGTACTCTCAGTTACCGGCCAGATCGATATCGACGTTTGAAGAGATGGCGGACAAGTTCGCCACCGCCCACGCAGGAGCAAAGAAAGCCGAAGCTAGGGTCAACGACATCTTCGCCATCAGGCAAACAACGGGTGAAGGACTTAGGGACTTCCTGGCGCGATTCAACAGGGTAAGAATGGGACTGCCAAACGTATCAGAAGGAATGGCGGTGGCAGCTTTCCAAAACGGGCTGAACAGAGACGGATCCAAAGCAACCAAAAAGCTGCTCAATCGGCTCATGAAGTATCCCCCCACCACGTGGGAAGAGATTCACAATGCCTATTGCGCCGAAGTCAGAGCAGATGAAGACGACCTTAACGGCCCAACCCAACGACTAACGTCCGTACAATCAGAAGTAAGGAGGGACCGACGCAACGACGGGCGACGGGAACCACTCCCATGCTTCAATAGAGAAAGGCACCAGCCTTACGTCAGAACTCCTAACCCGCCTCCTCCAAGACATCCAGATGCCGTGCAGCGACATGCCGCCCCGCTTAGAAATGAAAGAGGTATGCCCCTATTATTATCCACTCATAACTTTTGTGTCTCCCCTTCAGAAATAGTGTACGCACTGGAAAAGCTGGGCACGAAGGTGCAGTGGCCACAAAAAATGAAATCAGACCCTAGTGCAAGAAGGTCGAATGCCCTATGTGAATTCCATCAGGAAAGAGGACACAAAACCGAAGATTGCATAGGTCTACGGCAGGAGGTGGTCAGAATGCTGAACCAGGGATACCTGAAGGAGCTACTCAGCGATAAAGGAAGGACTAATTTCGCCAGAGGACGCGACCAATCCCAAGGACCACCAAAACCACCTTCTCCAGCGTGTACCATACAGAAGATCGTCGGCGGCAGCGACGACTCGGCAATCAACCATGTAAAGTTCACCACCACCATCGGAGAGCCCAGCGTTGCCCGAACAGGTAACGCCCACACTGATTCCAATACAAGCAACGATGCGCTCACAACCATCCTTAAGAAAACGGAGGAGATGGAGAACGAGAAATAAGCACTTCGTGATCAAATGAAGGAGCACCAGGAGAGGGTAGACAAGATACCTGGCGCCCCTAAGCTACTGCCGAAACGCGATATGGGAAGATTCGTTGAGCAATCATATAATGAGGAAGCTGCTCCTCACCCAATCCCTAAAACCTTCAAGATGCCACCATACTTAAAAATATACGACGGGACCACGGATCCAGAAGATCACCTGATTCATTACGTGACCGCCGTAAAAGGCAATGACCTATCGAAAGAACAGGTGCCATCTGTGTTGCTGAAAAAGTTTGGGGAGACTTTGACGGGAGGAGCACTCACATGGTACTCTCAGTTACCGGCCAGATCGATATCGACGTTTGAAGAGATGGCGGACAAGTTCGCCACCGCCCACGCAGGAGCAAAGAAAGCCGAAGCTAGGGTCAACGATATCTTCGCCATCAGGCAAACAACGGGTGAAGGACTTAGGGACTTCCTGGCGCGATTCAACAGGGTAAGAATGGGACTGCCAAACGTATCAGAAGGAATGGCGGTCGCAGCTTTCCAAAACGGGCTGAACAGAGACGGATCCAAAGCAACCAAAAAGCTGCTCAATCGGCTCATGAAGTATCCCCCCACCACGTGGGAAAAGATTCACAATGCCTATTGCGCCGAAGTCAGAGCAGATGAAGACGACCTTAACGGCCCAACCCAACGACTAACATCCATACAATCAGAAGTAAGGAGGGACCGATGCAACGACGGGCGGCAAGAACCACTCCCACGCTTCAACAGAGAAAGGCACCAGCCTTACGTCAGAACTCATAATCCGCCTCCTCCAAGACATCCAGATGCCGTGCAGCGACATGCCGCCCCGCTTGGAAATGAAAGAGGTATGCCCCCATTGTTATCCACTCATAACTTTTGTGTCTCCCCTTTAGAAATAGTATACGCACTGGAAAAGCTGGGCACGAAGGTGCAGTGGCCACAAAAAATGAAATCAGACCCTAGTGCAAGAAGGTCAAACGCCCTATGCGAATTCCATCAGGAAAGAGGACACAAATCCGAAGATTGCATAAGTCTACGGAAGGAGGTGGTCAGAATGCTGAACCAGGGATACCTGAAGGAGCTACTCAGCGATAAAGGAAGGACTAATTTTCCAGAGGACGCGACCAATCCCAAGGACCACCAAAACCGCCTTCTCCAGCGCGCACCATACAGATGATCGTCGGTGCCGGCGACGACTCGGCAATCAACCATGTACAGTTCATCACCACACACAAGTTGAAACGCACGATCGCTCACGAACGGTATGATGACTTCGAAGATGGTATCACCTTCGATAAGTCTGATGCCGACGGTTTGTCTTTACCTCATTATGATGCTTTAGTTATAACTTTACGCATTGCTGATACCGACGGGAAAAGAATCATGGTAGACGACGGAAGCGGCGCGTGTATTATCCACCCAAGAGTCCTCATGCAAATGAGGCTCGAAGGTAAGATAATACCGCGTTGCATAACACTAACGGGTTTTAACAATGCAGTAGAGCGAACCTCCGGAGAGATATCACTGCCAGTCCTGGCGGGGGGAGTCACGCTGAAAACCACGTTCCACATCATGAACCAGGAAACGGCCTACAACGTCATCATGGGACGTCCATGGATACACGCCATGCAGGCCATCCCCTCGAGCCTCTATCAAGTAATCAAATTTCCACCCCATGGGGAATATTCAGCATTCGAGGTGAGCCACGTACCGCCTAGGAATGTTACCAAATTGCCCAAGACTGCGCACATACCAAACAGCTAAAGGGAGCAAGCGCGGAAGCATAGCAATTAGCCATGTCGGGAACCAAAATCAACCCGACGACAGAGGTTATTAGGGACCCAGATGTCATAGAAGCCTGCAAGGCGACAGTCGTGAACCTCGAACCTGTCTAACTGGACGGTACCGGTAGTTCAAAGAAAGCCTACATCGGACACAACCTCTCCGACCCAGGTAAGTACCACGAATTCTTGACTAACCATGCAGATTTATTTGCCTTCTCTCATTCAGATATACTGGGGATCCCGAAAGACATCACCACTCACAAGATGAATGTCGACCCACTTTATCCGCCCATAAGGCAGGTAAGAAGGAAATTCAACGCCGCAATCAACGAGGCGGTCAGTGAAGAGGTAGATAAACTACTAGCCAACGGTTCCATCAGGGAATCAAAGTACCCCCAATGGGTCGCCAACGTGGTCATGGTTAAAAAGAAAAATGGGAAATGGAGAATGTGCATAGACTTCACCGACCTAAACAAGGCATGCCCAAAAGACTCCTTCCCGTTGCCTCATATCGACCAGCTGATCGATGCAACGGCGGGGCACGAGCTGCTAAGTTTCTTGGACGCCTACTCTGGCTATAACCAAATCTTAATGGCCAAAGAGGACCAAGAAAAGACAACTTTTATCACCCATCAAGGGACGACTGCTACAAGGTGATGCCCTTCGGACTAAAAAACGCGGGTGCAACATACCAAAGGTTGGTCACCAAGATGTTCAAGGAACAACTCGGTAAGACAATGGAGGTCTATATCGACGACATGCTAGTGAAGTTGGTTAAGAAGGAAGACCATATCGACCAATTAAAGCAGGCCTTCGAGATACTGAGGCAGTATGGGATGAAGTTAAACCCAGAAAAATGCGCCTTCGGCGTACCCTCGGGGAAATTTCTAGGTTTTCTCGTACCGCAACGAGGCATCGAAGTCAACCCAGACCAGATTAAGGCTATACACACAATACCCGAGGTTCTGCACAGGTACAGAAACTAACGGGGCGAATAGCCGCCTTATCAAGGTTTATCTCGCGGTCCTCAGAGAGATGCCATAAATTCTTCAGTGTGCTGAAGAACGATCATGGACTACAATGGAACGAAGAATGCATCGAGGCCCTGAAGAAATTGAAAGCATATCTATCTTCGCCACCACTGCTCGTCAAAGCAGACCCCGGCGAGTGCCTACTTGTGTATCTGGCAGTATCCCAAGTCGCTGTCAGCGCCGTCTTGGTCCGCGAAAATAAAGGTATGTAATCCCCAATTTATTATATCAGCAAAACACTCGTAGATGCCGAAACGAGGTACCCCCACCTCGAAAAACTGGCTCTGGCACTGGTCGTGGCTTCACGAAAGCTCAGACCTTATTTTCAATGCCACCCCATAAAGGTAATAACAATCTTCCCCCTAAGAGGCATCCTACACAAACCCGAGCTCTCGGATAGGCTCGCCAAATGGTCCATAGAGCTCAGCGAGCATGACATAACCTACCACCCAAGAACTGCCATCAAGTCACAGGTACTTGCCGACTTTGTTGCCGATTTCAGTACAGGGATACTGCCAGAGGTGGAACAAGAGGCCCTTCGCGCTTCTGCTCGTACTGACCTCTGGACCCTCTACACTGACGGCGCTGCGAATGCCTCGGGATCGGGACTGGGACTCGTCCTCGAGGTCCCTACGGGCGAAGTAATTCGCCATTCCATATGATGCCCCGAGATGACTAACAACGAGGTCGAGTATGAGGCTGTGATTGCAGGCATGAAATTAACCATCAAATACGGGGCCCGTCGACTCATCCTCCACTACGACTCTCAACTTGTCGTAAATCAAGTCACCGGAACTTACCAAATCAAAGAACAACGGCTACAAAAATATCAGCAAGAGATCCGCAAGCTGATGCATGAGTTCGACGAATGTCTCTTCGAACAAATCCCCAGGGCACAAAACGTTGAGGCAGATAGCCTAGCTAAACTAGTCGCAGCCACCAAGAATATCAACAAAGAAAATATGGTGACTATCCTCCATTCGGCCGTCGACCATGTCGAGGTATTCTCTTTAAACTTGACTTGGGACTGGCGCAACCAGTTTGTATCATACTTGTAGGACGGAACGCTCCCACGCGACAAAAAAGAAGCCAAGAAACTCCGGGTACATGCTGCCCGATACAGCCTGATCAATCACGGTCTCTACAAAAGAACATCGGAGGTCCCCTTGCCAAGTGCCTCGAGCCGCATCAAACAAGGCAAGTATTAGAGGAGGTGCACGAAGGCCATTGTGGCGCCCATACAGGAAACCGCTCCCTTGTTCGATACCTCATCCGCGCCGGCTATTACTGGCCTACCATGAAGAAAGAGGCAACAGATTATGTTCGAAGATGCGAGCAGTGCCAAAAGTACGCCCCCATGATACACCAGGCAGGGGAACTCCTCCATTCAGTCACCTCGCCATGGCCCTTCATAAAGTGGGGAATGGACATAATCGGCCCTCTACCGACAGGACGAGGAAAGGTACGCTTTCTTCTAGTTTTGACTGACTATTTTTCTAAATGGGTGGAAGCAGGTGCGTACGCACAAATACGCGAGCAAGAGGTCATCGCCTTTATATGGAAAAATATCATATGCCGCTTTGGCATCCCTAAAGAAATCAGCTGTGACAATGTACCCCAATTCATCGGTAGAAAAACAACAGGATTCTTCGAGAAATGGCACATCAAACGGATACTCTCCACCCCGTATCATCCCGCCGCCAACGGCCAAGCCGAGTCTTGCAACAAAACAATATTGAACATATTGAAAAAGAAGCTCGAAGACGCTAAAGGGTTATGGCCCGAATTATTACTTGAAGTATTATGGGCCTACCGGACTACGCCCAAATCCAGCACGGGAGAAACACCGTATTCACTGGTCTATGGGACCGACGCAGTCATACCCGTCGAGGTCGGAGAGCCAAGCCTGAGATATTCCCATACTAGTGGAGCGGATAACGATGAATGCAGGTTACAAGATCTGGGCGAATCCGAAGAACGAAGAGACATGGCTCATATAAGGATGACAACCCAGAAACAGCAAGCGGAAAGATACTACAACAAGAAAGCCAAAGTAAGATCACTCAAAGTTGGCGACTATGTCCTCAAAGCCAAAACACTGGCATCAAGAGATCCGAACGAACGGAAATTGGGAACCAATTGGGACGGACCATACAAAATCATTGCAGCGGCGAACAAAAGGGCATTCTAACTAGAAACGATGTAAGGAAAACCGCTCCAAAACAATTGGAACGTCACCCACCTCAAATACTTCCACTTCTGAAGGGCATCTCCTGAGTCGTACTCTTTTTCCCTGACCCGAGTTTTGTCCCAATTGGGTTTTCTCGGGGAGGTTTTTAACGAGGCGACAAAGGGGATACCCGGTGGAACAGGAGCACAGATTCGCCATATTGGCCAATCGACACGAGCCATGGGCCAATATAGTGAAGGGACTATACTAGTTACTCTCCATTATAGGCACGTTACTCTCCAGTATAGGCACAGTATTCTCCATTGTATGCACAGAAATCTCCACTGTATGTACAAAAATCTCCACTGAATGAACAAAAATGTCCGTTGAATGAACAGAAATCTCCATTGAATGAACAGAAGTCTCCAATGAATGAACGGGAATCTCTATCCTACGACTGATACTGCTTCGACGACAGTCGAAGCAACATCTTAATGGCCAAGGCCATCGACATTTCGAACTTCGACGGATATCGCTTCGACGACAATCAAAGCAACATCTTAATGGCCAAGGCCATCGACATCGGTTCGACCTCGTTCGAACTTCGACGGATACCGCTTCGACGACAGTCGAAGCAACATCTTAGTGGCTAAGGCCATCGACATCGGTTCGAACTCGTTCGAACTTCGACGGATACTGCTTCGATGACAGTCGAAGCAACATCTTAATGGCTAAGGCCATCGACATCGGTTCGATCTCGTTCGAACTTCGACGGATATTGCTTCGACGACAGTCGAAGCAACATCTTAATGGCCAAGGCCATCGACATCGATTCGACCTCGTTCGAACTTCGACGGATACCGCTTCGACGACAGTCGAAGCAACATCTTAATGGCCAAGGCCATCGACAACGGTTCGACCTCGTTCGAACTTCGACAGATACTGCTTCGACGACAGTCGAATCAACATCTTAATAGCCAAGGCCATCGACATCGGTTCGACCTCGTTCGAACTTCGACGGATACCGCTTCGACGACAGACGAAGCAACATCTTAATGGCCAAGACCATCGACATCGGTTCGACCTCGTTCGAACTTCGACAGATACTGCTTCAACGACAGTCGAAGCAATATCTTAATGGCCAAGGCCATCGACATCGGTTCGACCTCGTTCGAACTTCGACGGATACTGCTTCGACGACAGTCGAAGCAACATCCTTACGGCCAAGGCCATCGAACATCGGTTCAACCTCGTTCGAGTGACGGCACGATCCTTCGATGAACGATAAGAACAATCTCTGCGGAGGTTAAACATTACAAAAGAAAAATAAAGGGGAAGCACCAAATGGACGAGGCAATAAAAATAAAATTTATATTGCAACAAAAATATATTTACATCCGCCCCCGTGGACGAGCTCCAGCACACTATACAAGCCTAAAATATACACTATACAAGTTCACAACTGCCCCGTCACCCCCTGGGAAGTAAACATCATTGTACCAGGAGCTGGAGTCGAGCCGGTAGACGTCTTCAGAAGCAGGCCCCTCCCCATCAAGAGAGTCGGGGTAATAACCACAAGCCTCACGAGCAGCACAAGCCTCATCTCGTCGTGCCCGAACCTCCTCCTCTGTCGCCCGGCCCGCGGCATGAAGCTCCCTATACACGTCGAGCTTGGCCTCCGCAAATACCCACATCTCATACGCGTTACGACGCATACTCCGGCCAGGCGAAGGGCGAGATGAGGAAGGCTCAGAAAGTCCATTATTCTCTGCCATCCTAGCGTCAAGCTCGGCGGTTAAATCCGCCACCCTCCGCTGCAGGTCGACGTTCTCCGCTGCCACCCCACGGCTCAGCTCAAGCTCGTTATCTTTCATCCTCAGAAGCTCCTCCAACTCGCTGTTGCAGGCTACGGCCTTCATCAGCTCGCTATCCGCCTCCTCCAGCTCGGCCCCCCTACGTTCCAATTGGGACTGCCCCCGTTCAACCACCGCTCTTGTGCTTAGAGCAATACCTTCGACACTTTTTCAGCATCTTCTTGTAAAGGGCCGTCCGTTTTTGCTCACGGCGCCCCCTCTCCACCTCCAAAACAAGGGTCTAAAGAGAAAAACAGAAGCGAGCACGCCTCGAATCAGTCTTACAACACGCGGAAGGACAAAAGGGAATAAGGAATTACCTGCAAAGCCATGCCAGAAACCTTCCGTGACAGCTCCGCATCCTCCACGGTACTAAGCGTCTTGCTCTCGGAGGCGGCACACAACAGGGTAAGGGCTGAAGCAGCCTGTTCGCTGTTTAACAGCAAGTTGTAAGCCGCCGGAATCGTAATGCGGCGGTCGGACCCATCCGTCGTCATCTCCACGTGGGTGAGGCCACCCACAAACTCGTCGATATCCTCCTGAGCGATGTCGGAGTTCGATCTCTCCGTTTCCTCGCCTGGTCCTTCGATATTGGTCGACGATCCCCCCTCAACGGCAGGTGCGAAACCAGCACCGGGAGCAGCACCCCTCTGACGAGCCGATCTCCCAGACCGAATAGCGTCGGCCATGAATGGTCTGCGCGTTGGCTGGGGCACATCACTTCCTTCAGCCTCGGTAGCCACCCCCTTACCCTTCTCAAGCCTTCTCCGTTTTCTGTCTGATGATTCCCCGCCATCAGATGGTCCGTCCACGGGTTGCAGAGTCGGCACCAGCGATGCCGACTCCCACATAACTATGGTCGTAGATGTGGCCCCCTGTAAAGGAGTTGGAGAAGGATCCTCTCGGACAGACTCAACCAGTATGTCATGAGCGGCCGAGGCAACGTCAAATCGATGAGGAGCGGGGACCGGCGCCCTCTTCCTAGAAGCGCCTCGACCTGTCGCCATAAAAATAAGTAAGCAAAGTTGCAGAATTTACAAAGCAAAAATCGAAAATCTACCTGAAGAGACTTTGGGGCCGTAACGCTGCAGGAAGGCAGGCCAAGTGCGGGTCTCTTCCGCGTAAGGAAGCAAGCCAATAACCCATCTCCTAAGGTTGGCAACGGGCCAGGGCGGGTGAGCCATAGCTGCAATATAAAGGTCAGAATGGCAACAGTCACGAGTAACACAGAAGCTGACAAACTATAAATACTTACGTTTCGAGTTCCACCTCTCTGGGAACCCGACAGGATTAGAGACCATGTGCTCGGTCCTAATAAAAAAAATACTTGCGCCAGAACCCACGACTCGCTCGGTCGTCAGTTTTGACCACCAACCTTTCGTGCCACGGCCTCTCAGATGCACCATGGTCCCCCTTAGATAGCAGGCATTGAATAACTGAAGGAGGTGATGGACCGTGACTTCGCATCCGGCCAACTCCGCGTACATAGTCAGCAGCCGAAGCACCTTCAGAGTATACGGCGTAAGTTGAGTCGGACAGACATTATAGAACCGACAAAACTCCTCCGCCAATGGGAAAAGAGGGAGGCTGTAACCGATTGAGAAGGAGTATTCATAAAAGGCACAATATCCTGGCCGGTAAACGTCCACGTAATCCTTCCCCGCCGGAACCATCTCTACATAGGCAGGTATGTCGTACTTCGTGCGGAGATCATCCAAGTGGTTCTGTAATGACTCCGAAAACTCTGGAGTCGGTATGGGGGAATCTTTACTAAAATCACTCTGAGATAATATATGCTTTGGCAATAATGCCTCCACAGTGAGAGGACTGGCGTCTTCTTCCCCCACTTCTCCACCTTCAGAAGATGGCGGCACGTTCGAAGGGGCAGCCGCCGAGACCCTCTCGTCAGATCGGCAAGGTTTATGCATGGTTTTCAGTGAAGGAAAGAGCTAAGCGCAACCCAACAAAAGAATAAAAAGAGAGAGGGTTTCGATCAGGGGGAAACGCACCGGAATGGGAAAATATGTATTGAAGGTCTGGAATTCTCTTGCAAATGACCAAAGTTTGAATTTAAACCCTTCTCCTATTTATAGGGCTGGTTGGCGCCAGAATCGAAGAAGCAGACGTCGAATCGGCACGGGAAACCAGACGCCAAAAGCTTCTGATCCCCTTGCCTCGAGAATACGCACAATGATGACGCATATGAACGCTGATATCACACGAGGAAAGGCGTTTCGCTTCAATGATCTGACAATCATGATTACTGTCCCCTGCTTGTCACGTCACAAGTCATTGACGAAGTCAAACTCTCCCGGAACGGAGGTATCGATTCCGCCCATCGAGGACGCATTCGCTGCGACCCCGACGAGCGGAGGGACTAACTGTATGGGGTAGAATTTGACCAACCACGTTCTTCAAGCCAGCACGACCGACCGAGTGTGCGTAAGTCCAACTAGAAGGGCGACCTATGAGCAACAAGAGGGACGACTTCACGATCACGTCGGCCACTCCATAGCATGTGCTTTATTTTCTTCCTTTTAATATTTGAGCAAGGATCCTCTATTATATAAAGAGGATCCAAGCCTTGTAAAAGGGGCGGATTTTTGACTACTGGAAATACAATCTCTCTCTTTTCTCTATCTCTAATATTATCTCTCTCTTATCTTTCAGAAGTTTATCATCTTCTCTCATTAACCTTGTTTACACTATTGTCATCTGATTCTATATTCAAGATCATCCTAGGGTTTATTATCTTCAACTACGATTTACCCCTTCATCTACATTGATTGATTTGCTTAGAAAGTATTAACCTACTTTTGGGTCAAACAAGGACGGAAACATGAAACTGAATAATTGAGGGACACAGATTTCTGCTCTGTTTCATATGTAGTGGACATTCAATTGGCGTTAAGTTTTTTGAGTTTTCCTGTGAAGGTACGTCTAATGTTAACACCTGGAATATGGTTGGTTTGTTGACATATAATCAATTAATTTGGCCCTTTAGACTAAGTAGGCGTTTGGACATAAGAATTATAAAATTCAAAAAAATGGTGAAAAAAGTTTTCAAGTGAAAATGGTATTTGAAAATTAGAGTTGTGTTTGGACATAAATTTCAGTTTGGGTTGTTTTTTGAAGTTTTGTGAGTGAAAATTTTGAAACAGCTTTTTGCAGTTTTTCTAATTTTCGAATGTTTCCAAAATGCATCTTCAAGTAAAAATTGAAAATTTTATGAACAAACACTGATTTTGAAAAAAAGTGAAATTTTTTTGAAAAACGCTCCCATCAAATTTTTTGTCCAAACGGGCACTAAAGTATTGACTTTCCTAAACAAAAAATTTATTATTGTCGCGGCTTGTCAATTTAAATTTTACAGCAGATGGCCGCCTCTATAAGCGACGTATTCTTAAATAAGTTATGCCCGGGCCAAAGATTTTGACGGGGACGGATATCATTATTAGGCAACTGCGCATTTCTTTTTCTTGGTTTTCTACCTGTTGTTCATTATCAATAAGGTTTCTTTTTCTTATTCCCTCTGTCTTATTTTCCATATTGTTTTTACTCTTTTATATTAGGAAAGTGAAGCAAAATAGGTTATTAGAAACCCGAAT